ATAGTCCTGAGGTCAACTCTGTTGTCCCTGAAATTCCTTAAACCCCCCTGACGCTGTTGGCACGACGAGTGAGTGATATTAAATTCAATATTTTGAATTGCTACAGAAGGGTAGCGACGGATAAATTACTCGTTGTGTTCAGTCAGCGATGGTAGATAGTCGGGAGAGGTGAATTCAGAGTTTTGGTAAAGTGTTCAGGACCATTTTATGAAATCCATCTTTCTGTGTGTCCATTGTCTATAAATGTGCCAACATGTGGTGTCTTTGGGGCCGACACACCGCCACGTCCTCGCCGGCCCTAGATAACGCAGAGAGCGGTGTACTAAATATCATATCTCCTATACTAATTGTTTCCGCAAAAAAGGTGACCAGATCCTTAATTAGGTGACAGAAACTCATCCAATCAAATATAAAAAATCCAGAATGGTTTGGTGGACCTTAACTAGACATTTACCATATTTCTTTATCGTATCTATTGGCTATTATATAATCAACTCACAAATTTGTATAGAAAAAATAGAGAAAAATAGAAATGTTGAAAATGCCAATTGCCTGTTTGAGAAAAATCAAGAACTGCAATTTTGTCTGATTATAGAATCGGAATGAGTGGGATGATAATTTCGAACGAGTCGGCAAATGTGGGAATATCAAAAATACCAATTGCGGTGGAAACAGCGATTGAGGATTTCAGGGACTATCACACTGGAACAACTGGACACATACGCAAGTGTCTTACGAGGAGTCTTGATGTCGCCAGCGAGGCTATCATGGCCGATTTAGATAGTAAGTGATTGAAACACGCGAGTCCATTGTAGAAGCTACCGTGAAATTGCAAGCGAAAAATTCAGTTCACATTCTCCATCATAAATATGGGGCGATGGTCCAATTTATGGCCCGGGTAAAATCGATGGTACGAGATTTATAATCCTCGTTTCCAGCAGTTATCCGCGATCCCGGATATGTCAGAATCCATGCGGTTAACACTTAATCAATGAATTCCATTTTATCATTCTGTCGGATAAAGTCAGTGTGATGATAATTATGATTATAGATGTGGAGGAGTTGCTTGGTAAACCCGTGCAAGTGGATTTGGCAACGGAAACTGGACTGCAGACTGCTCTTGAGGGATTTTTCCAAGTTTCGAATAGTAAGAAGCCTTTTAACAAAGCAGCTTTAGTAATTGGCGCTTGGTATTACTCATTATAGCGCTCGTTTTAGAAACCTTTCTGTGGACCGCTTGCTGGAAATAAAAGAACAATTTAACGTATTCTAGAATTTTCTATAGAAATTCTACAGACCGCCTATTATAAATCCCATTATCCTATTCTACAAAGGACAAACATCGAGACTATCGATATCTCGAAACTCTGTCACGTTTATTCGTCATTGATTCAGTCCTCTGAGGCGGCTAATTTGAATTCAGAACTCATTTAATTTTGAAATCTTCAATCATAATTTTTATAATTACGAGACCTACGGCGCACCCCGCGCACCGAATTTGAATTTGGCGGTTCGAGTGGACCAATGAGGAATTAGCCCTACGGGTTTCGAGATATTTCGACTCGGGCGAACTTCATTTTTGTGTTTCTGATTTTATAAATCTTCAATCATAATTTTAATAATTACGAGACCTACGGCGCACCCCGTGCGCCGAATTTGAATTTGGCGGTTCGAGTGGACCAATGAGGAATTAGCCCTACGGGTTTCGAGATATTTCGAGTCGGGCGAACTTCATCTTTGTGTTTCTCCTTTTATAATAAGGACAGCACGCCGTAGCGCGCATTCAGTCTTGTACCCTAGAAAATCTATACGATTTCTATGGAACACGACGTGCATTTATAGATTCTCTCACTGTGGATAGACTAATGAGACCAAACCCATAAAATTTGCAATAAAAATGATCCAATACATTAACACATTGTTACACAATTTGAATAACAAATTTTATGAATTTTTCACCCTAAAAATGTATAAATCTTTTCCAGTATACATTTTTTATGACTCATCAGCTGCGAAAATCTTTAGTCGACACAGATCATGCCATAACCACCAATAAAAGTGCTATAGAAATTCAATACCATTTTTTATCTACCACCACAAAATGTTGAGATTGAATGGCCATTTTATGCCACGCTCACTCGACCTGAAACTTTATATTGTAGAATACTAAACCGTAAGTGATACGAATGCAGGAAGACTGTAACTCCTGTCCTTGAATATTCATGGATATCCAGTACTAAAGGACAAGCCGAGAAACCCCTGTACTTGGTATTTCACCGAATAATTTACAAGCATTTGCCTCAGTGTCTTCGCACCTTATCCCCCAAGACGGCAATATCCCCAGTAAATCTACATTGTTATTGGAATATTTTTGCTTCAAAGAAAATTCTATTACCACCCAAAACAGCTGCCTCACCTTTTATAAAAAAAAAAAAACAAAAGAAAAGCTTAGGTGGTGTTGGTCGGGAGTTACGGGACTGAATTGCATTTTTCAGCGAGCCAGGAACTTTCCAGCCGTGCAAAGAACCTACTGAAAGAGGGTGAACGAGCTCGTGATCTAGTTGCCGGATTGAGTCGTGATGTGGATGGGCTACGACGTGAGCTTGAATCACTAGCAGCTGCCTGTGCACCCCAAGATCGTCCTCTTTGTGCGACAATCAATCCAGCTGGTCTCACCGTCTCCTTGAGGATCGAGCGGGTATTCATTTTAGTATTGTCAACCTGAAATAGACGTGATTGAAAATGAAAATAGTATATTCCGATAAAATCGCGAGGGGGTGTGAACGTGTGTGAAGTTGGCATCAGTCGAATTGAAAGATTATCTGAAGTCAACAGAAATTCTATAAAATTTGGACAAGCTATGGGTGGGGTATAGAATTTTTTAGAGGCCAGAGATTCTATAGAGTTCAGAGAAGCTATAGACTTGCTATAGCCTCTATATGTTAGAGATTCTGGGAAACTCAGAGAATCTATCAATAGGCTATAGAATTTCTATAGACTGAAGATTCTATAGAATGCAGAAAAGCTAGCGAATTGCTATAGCCCCTATAGGCTAGAGATTCTGGGAAACTCAGGGAATCTATCAATAGGCTATAGAATTTCTATAGACTGAAGATTCTATAGAATTCAAAGTTAGAAAAATCGTATAAAGTTTCTACGGATTATAAATTTTGTAGAACTCAAGTAGAAGTCGGAAAAGCTATAGGAAGACTATAGAATTTCTATAGACTGAATATTCTATCGAATTCAGAAAAGCTATCAAATTTCTATAGCCCATATAGGCTAGAGATTCTGGAGAACTCGGGGAATCTATCAAGAGGCTATAGAATTTCTATAGGCTAAAGATTCTATGGAATTCAGAGAAGCTATCGAATTGCTATAGCCTCTATGTGCTAGAGATTCTGGGAAACTATACAGAGAATCTATCAAGAGGCTATAGAATTTTTATAGGCTAAAGATTCTATAGAATTCAGAGAAGTTGGAAAAATCGTATAAAGTTTCTATGGACTAGAGAATTTACAGAACTCACCTAGAAGTCGGAGAAGCTATAGGAAGACTATAGAATTTCTATAGACTAAAGATTCTATAGAGTTCATAAAAGCTCTTGAATCGCTTGTCTCTGTAGGCTAGAGATTCTATAGAATTCATCGAGTTAGATGAAGACTATAGAAATTATGCAGACGAGACATTCTATAGAACTGGAGAAGCTATAAAAATGATATAGAATTTCTATAGACCAGAAATTCTAAATTCTAGCAATCATGTGGCATTCCCATGTATTTTCTACAGAAATGCTACATAATTCCTACAGCAGCTATAGCAGGGGACTTCGCACAAGTTTACACCCTGCCGCTATTATATTAAGATTTAAATTTCATATGAATCGCTGAAACAATCTCTGAAGGCAACTATAGAAATTCTATAAGCTATAGACTTTAGACTATAGAATTTTTAGGGCAACTATACCTTTTTTAATAGAATGGGAATTCTATAGCATATTTTTTTCCATGAAATAATGTCAGGCGATGATACCATACATATAGTGAAATTTAACGGCTGTAAAGCCATGCTTTTCTCCCCACGAGATAAAAATTAATTTTTCAGATGATGTCTGTGTGTCTTTTTTTTTTAACGAATTTCCGTTTTGAATGTCTTCTACTTGTCGTCATCACGATCATCATTTACGATCGATTTTTAATCAACTTTATTTCGTTATCTACCTGCACTTTTCAATTTAAAAGGCCAAAACAATTAGAGGAAGGCAATCGGAGAGTCTACAGGAGTATAACTCCTCCAGGAAAAAAGGAAAACCATTGAAAGGGCCTCAGTAGGTTGAAGCTATATTTAACCGTCAGTGGCAATTGAACGAGAGTCGCTCAGAGATATATGTTTCAAAGGCGATTGCAATCAGGCTGATTTTTGTTTCGTTTCTCAAGTTACTTAGAGACGAGAGGCTATTGCGTCTACGTGAAGTCAGTCAGGACAATTTAACTGAGGCAGGGCGTCAAGCAAGAGGGGAGTACCTTTACGTGCCACATTACATTGCACGGAGAACACTCGAGGCAAGGAACTGTAAGTTTTAGCTTTCATTTCCATAAAACTTGCTATTCAAAAGACTGAGAGACCGTAATGTCTAATTAATTTCTTCAGGTATCTCAATTTTATCAATTTTATCAATTTCTGGATTTCCTTATAACTGAATTAAATCACTTACAAAAAATCCAATGTAACGTTTTTTGAAGCCGGTTTATTCGATATATATATATATATATATATATATTTATTTATTTATTTATTTATATTATATATATTTATTTTATTTTTATTCTAAAATTGGTTCCTTTTTCTTTTGTGCTTTGGACCGTTTCATTTTATAATCCCTCTGATTCTAACTCAGAGTCTGAATCTGAATGTTTGAATTCCGATTCTTATATATCTATCGTTGAAAAATGAAATGGAAAATCATGTAGTAGCACCACAAAAGTAACAATAAGCGCGCGTTCATCTCTAGTAAACTGAATAGAATTCGATCTCGCAGCCACGAAATAGTATTACTTTTTATTTTGCGGATGC